TTCCTTCCTTCCTTCCTTCCTTCCTTAATTGGAAATTTATACAGTATATTCTGATTGTGTTTTCCTCTCCTTCATGTCTTCCCAAACCCTCTGCACCTTCCCACCCATCCAACTCCATGCCTTCTCTCTCTCTCTCTCTCTCAAAAAAAAAAAAGGCAGATTTTTTTCCTTGTCATCATTCCCTAAATAATACTTCGTGGTGAGCACTTACACAGCATTTCCCTTGTGTTATTGTAAGTCTCTTAGAGATGATTTTCCTTGTCCCACCCTACCCATTGGAATCATGTCATATACATTACACCGAATATCTTATCTATTGAAAGATTATTTTGTGACTAGTGGTCCAGAAAAGGCTCCAAACTGACATGATGATGTGTTCACAGGGACAAAGCTTTTGATGCCTGAACTGCACATTGTGCTCTGATATTCCTGGAGTCGATTTACAGGACATAATAGAATGTGCCTGGGTTCTATGCTAATACAACCCATATTTTATATGAGGGACTTGACCCCCTTGCTTTGTATAAGGGATCTGACACCTTGACATCTTCAGGAGTCTGGAACCCAGCCCCTGCAGTCTCAGAGGCATGACTGTGACGATGCTTAGGACAGGTTAGCTCTTTCCTGTTGGCTGCTGTTGTGTGCTCTGTGGGAGGTGGGGTTGTATTTCCCTTGTATTAGCTACTCTTCTGATAAAGCACCATGATCAAAAGCTACTTCTTAGAGGAAGAGTTTATCGGGCTTCTGGTTTTAGAGAGAAGAGAAGCATGGCAGCAAGGGGCAGTGAGCTAAGAACTCAGAAATTCGAACGCAAGCATGAAGCAGAGCGTGCACAGGAAGTGGGGGCGAGGCTATAAACACCGAGGGACCACTCCCAGTTGACATACTTCCCCCAGTAAGGTTCCCTCCCGAAGGCTTTGCAACCTCCCTCAACGGCGCTACCAACAGGGAACCAAGTGTTCATATATCTAAGCCCATAGGGGATATTCTCATTCAAACCACACCCACAGAACGCCAGGAACATACCACCAAAGATCTTTTGACATCACCAAAATGGCCTCATGGTGACTAAATCACCCTGGCTGACAAACTCTTGTTGCAGAGAATGAAAACTCTGGTCCTGCAATCCAGATGATCCATCTGTAACTTGTACAAATAACTGAAAAATCTGTGCCATAGATCCTGGACTGCAAAATGAATGGTGGACCCACATGATGTTGCTGGGAATAAAGTTAGAGATGTGGATTGAACTTTCCTAGCATATAGGAAAATGCATAATGAGTGTGAGATTTGATTATCACAGGAAACATTCCTGCCCTTAATCTAGGAAAGAAAACATTACAATAAGTAAATATGCCTGGCATGAGGAGCTAAACTCCACACACCACTGTTCCCAAGGAAGGGGACTCCTGCCCACTTGATCCTGCAAGTCACTGAGTGAATGAGTTCTCTTTCCTGGGACCTGTATATATTCTCAGTCCATCAGTCTGGAGGCAGCTGTACTACTAGCTCTAGTCAGCCAGTTCTAACAAACAAATTAGTTAGTCTAGTACGTATTACCCTGAACTCAATTTAAAGTGAATGTTTCCTGACTCCTGAGAGTCAGGGAGGAGAACCTCACTTACCTTGTGTCTAGCGCCAGGCCTGTGTGAGAAATGGGCGAAGTCAACCATGCCTAGAATGTATCTTCTGCTTTGATGTGCCCGGGGCCTGGCCCATGCTCAAAGTCCTTCTCTGGGGAGCCAGGGAACTGGTCTTCCTTGGTGACTTCTGTGCAATCACCGTTGCAGTTCCTAGCACACAGATGATGTCCCCTTCTCCTGGGGCTCCCTTTTAGGCTCCTTCAGTGAACTGCGTTGGAGTCTCCCTTCTGCTTTGCTGCCCCGTCCCTGCAGGCAGCCTCTGCTACTGTCTCACATGCTGCCTCCAGCAGCTACTCACTGTAGTAGGTGAAGCTGCAGGCCTCACGACCAGTGCGCATGACAGCACAGGCTGCCTCACTCCTTAGGCCTAGAGGAAGCATGCTAAGCCAACCCAGCAAACTTGAAGGCTTGGCAACTAGCCTAGAGTTTGGGGAAGCAACCTCTGTCTTCCTTATGTCGTGTTGGGGGTGCCTGATGCTGGCAGTGTGCAGTTACCACCTCTGGTGGGCACCATTCGGCAGGGTTCATATTATTTAAAGTGTAGGAAGATGTGGTCTTGGAAGTCCCAGACAAACTGGAGAAAAAGATTTTATTTGAGTATGCTGATGGCCTCACACCCTGGGCCTCTTGTATCACAATCAGCCTTTTCAGTATTCTAAAGGCCCAGCCACACTGTTGGATCCCTCCTCAGGCTGTGTCTAACAACCAGGCTCTTGGAAACCCTGCATGTTATGGTTACAGACTCTTTAATTGACCAGAAGGGATTTCTTGAAAAAAGTTGGCTGCCTGGCATGGTGCCAAATGCTGCTGGGCAATGATTTCTCAGCTGCAGGGTTCATAGGAAGCAGGATTCCATCTCGGAGGCCACTAAGCTACATTCACGTGTGGGCTGGGGCTTTCCATGCCTGACTAAGCCATCGATTCTTAAGAAATAAAATAAAGAGCACATTCAGGCTGATGAGTGAGATCCAGTAGGTTTAAAAAGAGTTCCTTTAGCTTGCAGAAGTGCAAGCTGATACCAGGAAGTACTTGAGAGTAGAGGATTGACATTTAAATGCTCTATAACAGGAAATATGAACTTGGTGGAGACAGAGTGGATCTCAATATGGAACTCCTGGGATCAAATGAGTGTTGAGTCTTAAAATCCCGTACCTGGACCAGAAACATCTGCCTGTATCACCTGGAAATATGATAAGCATGCCAATTCAGAGCTTTTACTCCAAACATGCTGAACAGAAGCTCTGGGAGTGAAATTGGGCAACTCTGTGTTGGTGAGGCTTCTAGCTACAGCCTATGCTGCCGTCAGGGAGTCAGGCTACAGACATGCTTCGGGGAGGGGAACCTGAGCATGCCCTGTGATTTGTCAAGGTCTCAGAAGATCCCTGGAACAGAAATCCAAACCGGGTCTGTAAGTGGGGTTGGCAGCTTGCTCTGGTAGTTGGATAGTGGGTCACTGTTTAATTTATCATGCATGACTTCCCCAGGGTGTTCTTTAGCAGGGGAAGAAGAAAAGAACACAACAAAAATAGAAGCATCTCAATGTGCTGGAGCCCATTGAGTAACCAGAGTAATTCTGGACCACAGCTTGAGAGCAGCATCAGAGGGCAAAACCTGGAGCAGAGCATGGGTGAACTGCTGGCCTGGGGAATGGAGCTAAACCTGGGGACTCCTGTCGTTTACTCATCCGACAGACATTAACTAAGCACAGACAGGGCCTTTCTTGGCATCCTCAGCTTGTGGTGACAGTGTGAAATTAAGACTGTCTTTCTTGCCCTTCTGGGACTAAGAGTTTATTTAGTCAGAGACGTGGCTCTAAAGCAAAAGCTGATGCGCCAAGTCACAACTTGGAGTCTATGAAGGAGAGACACAGATTGCTGGGAGTACCCCCAGGAAATCTGGGTGGAGCAGCTACAAGAGGCAGGAGGACAAGAATGACAAAGGCCCACCCACACTCGTACCTGCTGTCATCAACAGGCGTGATGTGTAACCGCAGAGTGGCAGCTGTGTGGTTTTGTGAGCGAATGGTGATACATTGCAATTACTGTTTGTTGCCTGACAAGAATTCATGTTTGAGGACAGCCTAAAGGATCTCAAGAAAAACAAATAGCAGAGTAGACATTCAGTAGTGAACACGCCTCCGCCATGTCAACCAGCCACTCTGTGAGCTCAGCAGATCAAACACACCCCAGGACAACAGAGCGTAAGGATGATGGGCTAGTAGATGACTAGCTATAAAACACGAGCAAACAGCTCTCACATGCTGTATCCAGAAACATTTGTAGCAAGAACAAATGACTGTCCTCTCCTCACTTGGCCCTAGGTGAGTACATTCCTGGCTTCTCCAGGAGTGCCCTGGTCCAGTATTCCCAGTGGATGCCGTACTACAGACAGTACCTAATGCTGTGTGGGCTGTGGTTCAAAGAGCAACAGTTAATCTGTTCTTCCACACCGTGTGCCTGATGGCCTCCTCTACATCATTACTCTTGTCTCTTGGGACCATTATTAAAAAAACAAACCATGGTTATATGTGTGCAAGCACTGTGACACCACGACACAATGTGATAACTGAGGTAGCTATGCTGGATAAAGGGGTGGCTCCTATCATGGGTAGGACAGAGCAGGACAGTGTGAGATTTTACCATGCCACTAAGATTGGCATTGGCAGTTTAAAGTGATGAATTGTTTCCCAAATGTTTCCATTTAGCAGTTTCAGACCGAGCTTGACCTTGGGTGAATGAAATCTCAGAAAGAGAAATGAAAGTGAGAGAAGCCTGCTGAATACGCTTCTCTGTATGATGTGCTGAACCATCAACAAGAGGCTGAGCTGCACCCATGCTGTTTATAGTATGATGGGAAACCATAAAATAAAACATTGGAAATGCTGAAAGCAGAGCTGGGGAGATGGCTCTGTCACTAAATTACTTTCTGTACAAGGACAAGGACCCGAGTTCTGGTCCCTAGGACCCAGGTAAAAAGTTGGGCACAGTAGTGGTACGCCTGTAATTCCCAGTGCTAGGGAGGCAGAGAGGGCAAGATCCTGGGGTCCAGCTGGTCAGACAGTTTAGACAAATCAGTGAGTTCCAGGTTCCGTGAGATACTCTATCTTAAAATCTCAGGTGGACACTGATAGAAGAAGAAACATGATACAGACCCCTGGCCTTCACATATGTACCTCTACACATATGTGCATGCACACCCAGGCATGTACATGCACATACTCATATGTCACACACACACACACACACACACACACACACACACACACACACACACACACTATACACTCTACAGTTCTTATATTCACTACCTAATCTAAATACACACAGAAAAAGGAGGGGAAGAAGATGAAAATGATGTTTGGGTTATTTCTAATGAGCTCGTCGTGATAGTGAGTGTCGCCTCGGTTGAAAGCGTCTGGACTTGCTTGTGGAAGCTGGCACCAAAGGCATCATTGACTGTCATGATTCAGGTGCTACTCTTTGGCTACAGCTTCCGTTTTCTTCTCTATGGGGAAAAGCTGCAAGTCCCTTCTGAATGCTCCTATTTACACCCAGATTATAGACAACTCTGGAAACAAGAGGGCATCTTCCTGCGGTCTGCCTTATTTTCTCTGCATCATCATCATTTCCAGGTGCCTCCACGTCTCTGTTTAACCATCAGTGCTCTCAATTAAAAATTGTCAGGAGCTTAATAGGGCTTTCAAAACCCATTTAGCTTAAACAATGCATTATTGAAGGGCTGTCTGTCAACTGCTGCAGCCAGCACCGTGAGACAATGTCACCGAGTGACTGCAGGGGAATGGCTTCCATTGAAGCAGCATATCCTTTGCCCTGGGACTACCATAAATGGGTAGGACGTTTCCTGAAACAGGCATATTCAGGATATTGTCATCCACTTTCAATTTCTGTATGAAAATAAGGACATTTGTCAGATAAAATAAGATGTTTGTCCTTGTCAAGGAGGACGTTTGTCATCCTTGGAGGATGCTCGCCTTGTCAGAGAAGCTGGTCCTCCTTGGAAGATTGTTGCCTTGTTTAGCCATCGTTGGTGAATCTTGGTTGTTTATCAGACTTGAGCCCTTGACATTTGAAACTGTACAGGCTAGAAATCTCCAGTTCTTTGAGTTTAAAGGACACCAAGAAATTAATAATAACATCCTTCTTACCTCATGGCACTTTCTCAGGTTAGGCACCTATGTTGACCCTCCATACAGATGCCTCCCTTCTTCAGGATGTAAGTCTGGCCATGCATTTGAGACCAATTTTATTGGAAGAACACAGCT